AGACTGAGACCGAGACTGTGGTGTGCTGCAGACAGATCTGACTGATGGTAGATCATTCGCTCTGCTAGCATTGTACCAGGAGTAGGTTTTGTGGTTTGTACCGACGTAGCTGGGCTATATGCCTGTTCTCTCATGTCTTGCACACTTCGCGGGCGCTGTGACGGATTCCATGGCTCTGTCTGTTCCGCAGTGCTGATGTGAAGCCGAGGTACTGGACCACTGTAACGATGTTCTATATGGTCGAAACCAGAGTCGAAGGGCTGTTGATAGCTTCTGCTAGAGTAGTATTGGGACATGTCTGCGACCACGAGTCAGCCCGCTGAATGGTTGCCTGAGGTATCAACGTGTTGTCTTTTTGTTGGCCGCTCCTTGAAGCAAGTGGGACAGTGTTGAACCAGAGGATGTGAAATTGAAGAACATGCATACGCAACATAGGAGGCCGCGTCAAACCGGATCCAAAACGTACCTCAATCTAGGTGTTCAGCCTGCTGGAGCGGCCTGGGGCTTGCCTGAAAGTACGCAGTACGCAAAACTTGGTAAAGGAAAAAGGCACAAGTGTGCGCATTAGTAAATGCAGCACGCCACTCGGCCGCCCCTCAATCTTCTGCACTATCCAACAAAGTGGTGCAAAAAGACGTCTTGGTGCTCCAGAGGTCCTTCGTTTCGGACTCCTAAAGCACGGGCCTGCACTGCCTACTGGTATACCGGTAAGGAGCAAGAAGGAATAGGCAGGCTTGCACCGGGACGCCGATTCCCCCTCGTGGCGCCGTGTCAGGAAAGATGCACAGAAATGCCGATTCGACTGGGATTCTAAAATTAATGGGCGACGCTGTAGCTTCGTCCCATGGCTGCGGTCATCGCAATCAACAAGTCATGGCGGTGCGATGATGACGGAGATGGTGACGATATGGGCGGCCTCCCACCGGCTCCTCCAAGGCAACCGTTGCCCTCTTTTGCCCTCTTCTGCCTCCTGCAGCTTCACTTAGCGCGAAGTATATGCAGCACCCAAGCGTCTGTGCGAATTGCAGATGGAGGACTCAATGCCCGTCGGGGGTGGTGGGGGCTGTGTAAACCTGCCCGTGTTGAGAGAGGTCCTCCAACTGCTCAGCCAATCACTTGGTCACATTCGGACTGGGCGACAGCGCGGATGTTGCATGCCGCTCTGATGCGTGGGACCACACGCATGGGATGGGTAGCCTTGATAGATTAATCGCCATATTTGAGCACAGAGGACTCTGCCGCTTCGCTGTGCATACGGCCCGTGGTCGTGGTCGTGGGCACAGCGCCGTGGCGTCCTGCACAAGTGAGAATGGGATACGAGCCCACTTTGTTGCGGCTCTCTTTCCATATTTGCGCTTTGTAGGTCATGCGCTGCAAATACTCAATTGTCACGAGTTACAATGGGAGATGCTCCTATCTAGTGCCGCGAGGACGAACCATGCAAGTCTAGGATCCATTCAAGCTTACCATTGTACTGTTATCCTTCGCAATGTACATGGCAGCTCGTCCAAACAGTAGCTATTCCCACGCGTTTAAGACCAATTCGCTTGATGAACACAAATTTATCCTCCAGCGCACGAGTGGATATCGTAAAAAAATCGTTATCAAAAAACAACACTCCAAGAAAACAACCCTCTAAACTGAAATCAGACCTGTCAAAATACAAACGCCCTTCAAATTCCAACCATGATCTCTACTGCGAATGCGAGTAGTCATAGTTGTGTTGTGTCGTCCGGTATGACATGGCGGTATAAGTGCTGCCCTGCTGGTAATGTATTTCGTTGGCGTTATCGAAACCCATGCCAGGCACCTCGGTCGTTAGCCCCTGAAGGTCTTGCGGGTAGTAAGAAGGAAATGGCGTGGTACTCGTATCAACCGGAGAGTCTGTGTACATAGCCTGTTGCTGCTGGACAGTGCTCACAGGAGTCATGCCGTATTGCTGTACTCCACCCTGCATGTTGCCGTGTTGGTACGGTTGATTAGGAATCTGCAGCACATTGGAATAGCCATTTTGGGGCTTTGGGGGAACCTGAAGTCCGGGATAGGTTTGGTTGGAATAGCCTCCAGCATTGTTGCCGACATAATTCGTGTATTCGTTGATGTGATTCGATGGCGGGACCATTTGTGGAGGTGGGTATGTCTGCATCGTAGCAGGTGCCGCTTGTGGCTTCATATCGTGAGAGTAGAGACTCTGTGGGCCAATTCCAGGCGCATATATCGAACTGGAATTGTATCGTAGAGTGTTATCTATGGGTGAGCGCGCGGAGGCGATGGACAGCTTGCGGCTTTCTGGAAGCTCTACAATAGGACTAATGATGCTGTCGGCGTTGAGCTGCTTTTGATTCACAAGCGGAAGGATAGGCATGCTGATCTGCTCCATATGCTTCGCCAGGTGCACAGTCAACTTTTTCCAGCTATTGCAAATATTGCCACAGAATCGACATGGCTCATCCTTTGGCTGCTTTACAGTATCGCGTCGGCAGCTTTCAACAATGGCCCAAATGTCTTCTACCTAAGCATTAGTAACCGTTGCAATATGGCTTCAGACTTGTCTTACCTTGATCATTGGCTGTTGAGGCCTCTTTGTTGCCAGCTCGACCTGTACGTTGCCGTGGCTCAGCAATCTTGTGCTCGCGGACAAGATGTTGTACAAAATTGTCTTTACGATAGCAGACATGGTTACAGTCAGAAATTTGGCATGTCCAGTTCTCAAGCTGACGATGCCGCTCATTCTCATGGCGAACCCAGTCAGCTTTGCGCTTGAATGACTTTGGTTCCCCACAATTAGGAAAGGTACATGTGAAGGGCTGCACATCTTCATGTACATGCTTAGTCCAATCGGAAGGCTTGTAGAACTTCTTCACCTTAAAACATAGTGGGCATTCAAACTCAGCAGGAAGACGTTTGACTGGAGGAAGAGGCACCCCCGATGGGAATGCAGCAGGGGCGATGTTTCCCTCTACCATGTGCTCACCATCATCATCGGAAGAACCAGGGGCAGTAACCTGGAAACCGATAAAAGGAGCATCGGCATCTTTCGCTCCTGTTCGTGGGGGAAGCAGTTTTGCCTCTCCACCCAAGTCTGTACAAAAGCCGCCTGATGGGCACTTTTTGTTTTGTACGGCATTCAAGTGCTTCACCTTGAACTCCAGCAATCGTTTATATCTCCTCATTTGCTCCTGGGTAATACGTTCAACCATAAAATCATCAAGGCGTGGGTTGAGCTGTCGCGTGTTTGTCCTGAAGCCCTCATACGTTGGGATGATTGGATCAGTGCGAACCGTTAGGTCCATTGTCACTGGATCATGGTCGTCATCATCGTCATCTCCAGCTGGACTTGGCTGTGCAGAGGGCTTCGTAGCCTCTGTGTCTGCAAGAGGAGAGGCAAGCATGGGCATTGGAGGGCCTCCGTGCTGTGTCATTAGCTCTGCAAGACCAGGTGACTTGCCAATATCACTCCTGCTTCTACTACGCTTGATAACGCTCCTAGGCCCTCCCTTATACCATGGGCCCGCTGGGGCCACGGTCAAGCCCGTAGAGCTCAATGGGCCGGATTCTTTGCTGTGACTGCTGAGATTGGTATCTACTCGTGGTGATTTGGGACGACCCCAACTACTCATACGCTTGGGTTTCTCCATGACGGGCTCCTTTGACTTGTCTGAGGATGCGTCAGACTGTTGCACAGGGATGCTGCTCTTGCGTTTCAGTAGACTGCTTGGCGCACGCTTGGGGAGAATGGTTTCGAGGAAGCTGGGCCGGCGTTGGCGTTCTTTACTCCTTTTTGGGTCGGGTTCGATCAATTTTGCGACGCCGGGCGAAGCGCGAAGACTACCAATATCAGATTCGCTAAGACGACGTGATCCCACTGTAGCGGCCAAAGAAGCTTGCTCAATATCCTTTGCTCGTAATCGGAATCGCATCATGGCAGCATTTGAAGTAGGTGGTTGATAGCGGCCAGAGCTTGATGGTTGCGGTGCCACCGAAGGTACATCGGCCCATGGTTTTGCGATTGGACTGGCATTCAAATCGATCTCATGAATAGGCGGGAAATATGAGTTCTCGACGTGACTTGTACCAAAATCGATAACGGCAGGAGGAGACTCGGGCTCTAGAGACTCATCGTCTTCGTAATCGTAGTCGCCGAAGTCGCTTCGCTCGTCAATGTACACTCCCGGCCCGGGTATACCGGTATCGTCGATGTGGCCAAAGTGTGTCACAACGCCGAGACCAAAGCTGCTAGACAAAGCCTGTCGTTGGATGTCGTTGTGACTCTTCGCCCGACGCCTGCCGGTCATTGGCTTGAGTAGGTTGTTTGCGGGTGCCACATCGCCTGCTTCGCTCCCGAACTCGCTCTTGGTAAGCCATTCCTGAACTTCCAGTTTCTTTTCTTCCTTGGATCGCTGTTCGGCAATCTCCTCAATGCTGGGGATCCACGCATCTCCCATCTTTAGGCGATCATCAGGACTGAGACCTGTTTGACCAGATGCTCCTGGTGCCAGCCATGACCCATCGTCGTTACGCTCTGGTCTATTGATCATTGGCTGAATATACGTTCGTTCTTGTGTATCTGACTCATTCTCTGAGACGTCGTTATGTACGTAGGGGGATAAGTGGTTCCCAGAATGGCGACTACTGAAGCTCAGTCTGCCGATAGATCGGCTACGGTCCGAACGCGAAGGCGACCCTTCTCTGCTGCTGCTATAATTTTCAACGCGTACGATGGGACTTGTTAATTGGCGTGTGAGGGGCTGGATGTTGACTGGTGGCACGTTGCCAGGACTGTTTGTCAATGCCGGACTTTGCATTTGTTTCGTAGGCGTCGTGTGTTGCAGATGGCTCGCATGGTTCGGTGGCGTTGATACGTTTCCATTGAACTGCGTTGAAGGAAATGTGGAGCTCTCATCACCCAATGCGGGACTAGAGTTGTTTGTCGCGCTGGGTGATAGTAATTGCTGGCGTGTATCTAGCGAAGTGTAGGAATGAGTCATTGCTGGCTGAGCATTGTACATATTTAGTGAACCAGTGGTCAGGGTTGACATGTCAACGTTTCCTTGAAAAGACGGGAAATTACTGGTCGCACTGTTGTCGGTGAAATTGAGAGCAGACAAGTCATCAAGAATTTGTCCGCTGAAGTTTGGTGTCGGACATGTGCTTAGATCTTGATAGTTGGGGTCACTTGTGTATCCAGCTTCGGAGCTGAATTGTTCTACTGACTGTTCAGGCGAGATGTTTGGGCCATTTGCGTAGTAGGAGCCCGGGGAAAGGTGGTAGTTTTGCGACGGGTTGTAGATGTTTGGCGGTGGGAATGACATGTCTGGGTGTAACAACGAGTCGAGAGAAGAACCAATATTGGGTGTGAGGATGGACTCTTGCCCAGGAGTAGCGGATGAGGCCATGGATGCATCGTATACCATGGATGCAGGTTCCGCAGAGAAGGGAAATGTGCCTTGCGCTTCCGGCATTAGGAAGTTGCTGGTAGTAGGTGCGGGATGAAAGCCGCTAGCCTGCACATCCTGGAGGTGGCGTTGCTGGCGGCGAGCATCGAGGAAAGGCTGTGTCTGAGTATCGACCTGCATCGTTGGTCCGACTGCGCTGGGCGACCAAAAGGCTGACTCAACAGTAGATCAGATCAGATCACAGCAATCCACAAAGGGTGTCGACGAACAGAGTGGTGCGGAGGGCTAACGTGACACTGTATGGCTAGTTCAGGGTGGCATAGTGCTGCCTGATGGGTTACCAATCCAAATTATGCGAAAACCACAATGGCAGAAGAGGAGGGGTAGGTGTCGCAACGCCTTCAGACGTGCAAATGGATTGACTGTAGGGCAGATCGAGACAGAGAAAAATGTCGCGGCGTGACCGATGGCGAAAGATGCCAGGCGGCTGGGACCTTGATACCGGTTGGCGATCTGCCTTGTACAGGAGGGGATTCTGGAGCCGTTGTGGCTGGAGGCTGTGCCGGCAGTTCAAGGTGGGACGGGCCTAAGATGGAGAATGAGTAGCTCGAGAGGGTGCGAGCAAGTACAAAAAGATTAAGGCAAGTCCCCGAAGAGTCGGCTGGCAGAAACAGGGTGAAATTCGAAGTAGACAGTGGAGCCAGCCGCAGCAACGTGGGAAAGTAAGAGGAGCCGGTCAAGGCTGATTCCCCAAAATGACCAAAATGGTAAGACTGGGGTAGAGGGGATGCGCGCCAAGCGGGCCTGTGTCCGTGTTTTGGAGGCAATGCGGACGCCGGGTGTGATGATGGTTGGAAAGCAGTGAGTAACAAGCAGGATGGGTGAAAACAAGCGCGACGATGCAACGGTAGCTGTGAGCTTGACTGGCGCCTCGAGGCAGATTTGGCGATGCGTGACAGGGTCTTGGCAAGCTTGATGCAAACGGCACAGCCTCAGATGCTATACAGAGGCGGGGACAGGGGGCGGCTATGGAGTGAGCGGGTGGCTATGCCTCCGCCTCAAACCACATGGAGAAACTGGTACTGTGTACAGTCCCGGGCGGCCCTGTTGTGTCCTCGGTCAACAAGGACGCCACTCTGGACAGCATTGTATGTTTGGAGCATACGACCAGGTCGACCTTCGCGCTGCCCGCATAACGCTGCCCACCTATCCGCCCGCATACGCTGGCGCTTAGCGGGTCTGCAGCCGCTGCGGGTGCTATATAAAGGTATGCCTGGCTTAGCATTGGGCCTCATGGGGTGTGGGTGCCATGGCAGCAGACACTTTCTCATGGCACGTTGACGGCCTTGAGCCTTGCCGATTCGTGCGCATGTGCATGTTGCGATGGGCGATGCGATGACATTGCATCGGCGCCATCAGCCACGCACGGGCATGGAGCCTCTCTAGAGGTATTACATAGTTCGTCGCTGAGCCCCAGTTTCGTCGAGCGAATGGCGGATAGCGGCTGATGGTGGGGCCTGTCGGAAGCATGGCAAGACGGTCGACCCATGGGCCTGTTATCTTGAGTACTTAGTACTACGCACTGCTGTGGCTCCAACCAGGTGGTTTCGGGCATGTCAGCTTTCAAGCCGTAAACTTTGGCGAGTATCATGAAAGCGAAAGCCACATGGTGCGATGCCTTGAAACACGCTGCTGGCGAGGTGGAATACAATTCCAGACAGTGCAGATGCCGGGTTGCCGGTCTGCCATTGGTGGAATTCTGTATCAGGCCGGCACACAGTTGCTCGCCAATTCACGCCCACGCATAAATAGAGTGCAGAGGTCGGAGAGAGGAAGGTGTATTACAGTAGAGCAGACTCCAAGGTGTAGATAACAGTATCATGGCATGGTGCCTCAGTCTGCTAAAGGATGCAAGGTACCCGCTGCCTTCCCAATTTTGGCCTTTTCACAGAAGAAGCTGACGTCATTGTAAATGTCAATGTGGTGATGGCGATGATGGTAATTGTGGTGTTGACATATCTGAGGCTTTCATATTGTACCGTGTTTGTCTGTGCAGAGTGTGCATGTAAGCATGTCTGGTTCGGTTCAGCACAACCACGGCGCAGGATTGGTATTGAAGCAGCTCGGGCCACATCTCTTGTGTTACTGGTCAGTGTCGGATGGGTGATTTTATTCAAGATGGTTGTGTTTGCAATCGAGCAGTGCAATCTGGTGCTGTGTCGATGGTTTAGCAGGCCAGGCTAACCATTTCGGCAGCAAGTCGCGCCTTCCATATCGCCGTGCGGGCAGGCGCAACCGGCCCTTCTGCTTGCAACGGAAACGGCTATCCACCTTCGGCGGAACGGAGGCTAACAGCAACGCATCCACTTTGTCTACTTACCCAACCCAGATTTCCGTCAAAATGCCACGACCAGTGTCTCTGACTGCTGCTGCTCGTCCCTCTTCTTCTTCTTCTTCCTTTGTCATCTCTGCGACCCATCTGCGACAATCCAGTACTCGCCACTTGCACCGTTCCCCGCTTCAGCGAGCTTCTTTTGTATGCAAGCGGCTGCACTTGCATGTGACAGCATCACCAGACTAGCCCAGCACCACAAACAGAGCGCAACAAACTCTCCACAACACTGTGAGCTGTCACAGCACCGACCACAACCGTGTTCCGTCGCTTCGGACCCGAAAGCACTGCACCTGGCTTGACAAGAAAAAGAACGGGCAGTCTCAGACGTCCCTAGCACCTCTTTGTCGCAACACAGAAAGTCTTAAATACCGTATTCTGGTCTGCTGCACAATTCAACACCACGTGCGCTACATTAGTCAAGGGAACGCCATTGCTTCTCTGCACAGTAAACGTCGAGCTTTACAATTACTTAACCTACTCACACTGCAATCATGCCTGGAATCAGCGAAATCATCCCACAGCCCGACTCGAGAGAGCTCCTCCCACCGCTACTCGCCTGTCTAGCAACAGCAAAGGCATCCAAAGACGTGCCTCCAGGCCTTCTTCCTCTTCTTTCGCCTATACTTCGCCAGCGTGTTCAGCTTCTATCCTCTAGTGAGTGGCTTCCGCTGCTGTCTTGGGACCAGGAAGTGGCGTCTCGCCTCCCAGAAGCCATTGAGAAAATCGACGTCGAGCCGCATCCCTCTTCGGGCGAAATCGAGGTTGAGGAGCCAGATGAGATCTTGTATCGAAGATCAGACGCCGAGACACTACATGCAAAATTGGTACTGGGCGAATATGGAATCATACCAACCTACCTTTGGTGCACAGGCGGCGAAGGGGGAAGTCGCTGGCTGCTGGCGGAGCTGAAAGGGCTAGCAGACGCCGAAGACGGCACAGAATGGTTTAAGAATATTGCCGATGCAAACGAAGCCGGCTTCAGGCGAAAGTCGGGCACCGTGAAGAGCAACGGCGTCAAGATCCAGCAAGCAGCTCTTGAGCCAGAAGTGGCTGTAGAGGAAGACGAGGATGATGGCTCATACTGGGCTGCGTATGACCAAACCCCTGGGAGAACACCACAGCCTAGGCGTTCTCCTGCCCCGATAAGCAACAGCCAAACGCAAGTTGGGCCTACGCAATCAGAGCTCGAGTATTTCGCGCGTTACGCATCCGAAGTTCAACCAGCGCTGGACGCACATGACCCTGACGAAGAAGGCCCAGCTGCAGGAGAGTCTACACTGAATGGCAACGCTCTCAGCTACGCCCGTGGACCCCAACCCGAAGCTCTCAATACATCCAATCTAGGACCTAATGGCTACGACTCGTCCATTGCATCCGCACACACAAACGGGCACATGAATGGCGATGGTCTTAATGGTAACGATAGTGCCGCACATCTCATGTCGGTCGATCAAGACCACGAGATAGCGGCCAGTGCACTAAACCACCCCCGACCGTCTTCTTCAGCGTCTTCCAACTCGATTGAGAGACTTGAACAAAAAGCAGAAAGCTCTAGTCAAGCAGAGCTTGCCATTAAGCAGCACATCAGTACAGATATCAAGAGCCTGTTCCGGTTGGCGAGAGCTTCGGGTATTGATAGGGAAGAGTTTGAGAGAATTATACAACGAGAACTCGAAGTGCTGCCTATGCTGGAGCAAGAGTAGTCGTGCATGGGGGTGTATGAAAATAAGATAGGATTGGATACTTGAGGAAAGGCGAAAAGTTGCCATGTCATGAGCATTCGGAGGTATTTTGTTTGTGTACACACGTTGCATGACACTTCAACCTAACAAACCGGTTGTCCTTGGATTTTATTTATCACCATTGACCAACTTTGAACTTTTTATTGAAGCCTCGGAGGCCATGGCCAATGCTCCCAATTGAATTCTGCTGGAAAAAAATTGTCCATCTCCGATGCCTTGCACATCTCGACCCTGCCCTCTCCGAAACATGATGCACGCCTACCTCCGTCGCTGGGCCTCGCCGCTCGCGAATTTGGCCCCACTAGCCTTGAGCTGCTGCAGAATGTCAACGGCATTTGAGCTGTTTAGGTTCAATGTCGTGTCCATGCTCGCGCTTCCCCTGCCAATCTCCTCGACGACGTTATTCGGGTCCGCAGCGCCAATGACCGGAATCTCCGAAGCGAGCCACTGCTGGAAAGGCTTTGCGACAAAGTATCCATCTTCTGTGAACCAGCGCGTCATCGGGGCGCGAATGTGCAGTGTCTGTTTGGGATTCGAAGCGTACGGGGCAGGTGTGAAGACGACGTCGCATTCATAAATGGGAATGTGTTTCTTTGTCCAAGACGATATTCGTAGCTTTGCACCTTGAGTTGGTCTCTCTCTATTATTCTTTGGGAGGTGTCGAATGCATACCTTGCCTGTCTTGCCCTCGCCCTCGTACACGAGGCCCTTTTCCACAAACCAGAGCCAGTAGGTGAAGATGCTGTTGAGCACAAAGTAGGCGACTACGGCAGGGAGTGTGAAGGGCTTGCTGGCTTCCCAGCCGAACTTCCAGTCGTAGTAGAAGAGGGCGCCGGCGATGGTGACGGCTGTGTAGCCGAGCACTAATCGTATGTCGGTGCTCGTGTGGATTTGCTTGAACTTGAGGCTGTTGAGGTAATTGGGGAGGGCATCGTCTGTTGTGCTCTTGAGATCTATGCACGTCAAATATCAGTATTTGAAGTATGTAAATATATATATATATATATGTGAGAATCGAGAGTCCCTCATCATTGAGTATCCCGCGCAACGTACCTGGCAGCGAGTGCACTGCGATTTTCTGAGTTGCCGACATGTCTGTTTCCTCAAAGTTGATGTGCACAAACTAGACTAGAGAGATACCGGAAAACAGACAGCTCGGAATAGCAGGGCCCGGCGCTCGTTTGTTCGGCGGAGGAGGAACTGGTGATGAGCGTTGCTCGTGGTGGATGGGACACCTTTCCACAAGGGCAAAGCGCGCGGACCCTGGTCGTCCCGCCGGAGCCTCAGCGGCGGCGGAGTAGCTCTCGACTCTCGACCTTCGTTTCTGGGCCGAACGACAACCATCGACTTTGAACATCGCCCCTCCAACACTCCCTTCAACGTCCGCCCATCACGCGCAATTCGCCTGTTCCCGCCAACCATGGGGCAGCCCGTAGTCCAGACGATCCATAGGGATCCTGCCCTGTTGTACGTTGTTCACGGCCTCTGGTGGATGATGCATTGTTGCGACGAAAGACGGCTGCTAACAATTCTACTATAGTTGGTGGATTCTACTCCCCATCACAGTCGTCATGGTACAGATCCATTTTCAACAATTTTCCATGATGCACCTCAGTCTGACGCCCATCTCAAGGTCCTTACAGGTATCCTCCGCCACTACGCCATGACACTGCTGCAATCCACGCCCAAGAAACAAGACCTCCCCAAGATCCGACAGCAGCGCTCACTCGTCCGCGGCGTCAATCTCCGCACTAACGCGCACGTCATCTCGCCCGCCTCGTTTGCGGCGCGCAAGGCATACATGGTGCAGGCATTCCAGGAGGGAAAGTTCCTCGCGGAGCCCGAGATGAGGGGGAAGCCTAGACCGAATCCCATGAGTGATCCTGCGGCTATGGAGGGCATGATGGGCATGATGAAGGGCCAGATGACGATGATGATTCCGCAGACGCTGATTATGGGATGGATCAATGCCTTTTTTTCGGGCTTCGTCATTAGTAAGTCTTGGATTCCGTTGCTGAGGTGTGCCGGTTTGTGGAGAAATGAATGACTTCTCGTATTCCAGAGCTTGCATCTCGAGGTTTTTATTTTCAGCTGGTATCTCGGATCTCTGGCTCTAGAATGTTTCAACCTGGGCCGAATTCCGCTTTTCTTGGCTCCTGTATACATGAGGAAGCGAGTGGTGGTTGATTTCGTGCTCCCGAGTCATGGGTTTGCATCGAATTGCTGCATCTCCGTGTTGCAAAAGCAATAAGGGCATCTGCTAACCAGCGCTACTCCACAGTGAAATTGCCTTTCCCATTGACGCCACAATTCAAGTCGATGCTTCAGTCTGGAGTGGGTACTCGTGACCTCGATGTTAGATGGGTGTCGAGTTTGTCCTGGTACTTCCTGACATTGTTCGGCCTGCAGCCCGTCTACAATTTTATCCTAGGAAGCAACAATGGTACGTGTTCAGTAGACATTCGCCTGGTTACTAGTTCAAGCTGACAGTGGGCCTTCAGCTGCCAACCAGGTTTCACAACAGATGGCCATGGCGAATCCAGGCGCGGGTGGTATGATGGGCCCAGAGCAAGACCCTGACAAGCTCTTCCTTAATGAAGCCGAGAACCTGGAGGTACTGGAGCACCGATGGATAATGGAGGGAATCGAAGACCGACTGGTTGCCAAATTTGGAGCGTGATGTCGCTACACTATGCTAGGTGTTAGTAGCTGTCGCTCAGCCCTGTAGTCAAGTGGCGTCCTTAAGTATCGAGGACTGGCCCAGAAAAATGATTTATCCAGCGTCAACCATGCCTACTGGCAGAAGAGGACTGATTCCATGAGTGCCGTGCATAATGTTCCAGTCGCACGGCTTTGGGGCCAGTGGTGCCGTGGCTTGCGGACTGACATGGACGCCTACGAGACCAAGTGCCAAGCAAGAGACATCTTGTGCGAGGGGACTAATCACAACAGCTTGAGACTTTCTCGACTTCTGCACTGCGTCGCCCGATAATCTCCTGACAAATAGTCGAACCTACTGATTGACGACAGCCATGTCCAGCTTGTCCGCATGCCGACGCAGGGGTAAACAGCAGGTCCTCCAAGCGCGTTGTCCTCGACTTGAGAGGCGCATGGTCCTCCAAGCGAGTCCTCCAGAGCCCATGTTGCCTGGCCGCCACTCGTCGGTCACCATCACAGCATGCCATGCTCCGCCCCCAATTGCGCCTTCGCCAACGCACCATATTGCCTAGTTTGTAAGGCAACTCCATCAAGTCGTACGGGATACACAAATGTTGAGACAGCCTAGGCGTACTCTTGTTACCTTCACCATACGGTATACTCGGCCAGCGTCACAGATGTATCCATCCTAAAACAAGCCACGGGAAACACTATCCGGTAGGCCATGCTCTATCCTATCTCGATGCCCAAATCGAGTTGTCTTGGGCGAGACGCGCCCCTCGTTTTGGTGAGCCATCCTGCAGTGAGCTCCAATCAAGGATGCCACCCCTCCACCCTCTGATCCTCCACACTCCATCCACAATGGCAATGGCGCTTCCTCTTCGTCGGGTTCTTTGCTGCCCCATCAGCCATCGCTTGTGCGATATGGCCCTCGGAACAATCGCATCCTTGGTGCCGGTCACCCGAGCTAGCAGCACAACAGCGACTGGCCACGAACCCTTATGCGCGGCCTCCCAAGTGAGATGTCGGCACTGTCGTGTGTAGGTGGTTCGTCCCCCGAATGCGCGTCGTCCGTCCGTTTACTTGTTCGTTTTTTGGCCCCCAACGGTCAAACTGGTGGGCCTGCGGGTTGACATCTTGAACGTGCGCATGGCCCGTACCCTCTTTCCGACACTTCCTGCAAGCTATGCTGGCCGCGGAGCAGCTTATTGACTCGAGTTGGCTTGGTCGTATCGCCATACGGCAGCGATCGACCCAGCCTATAGAGATTGCTTTTTTGATTTGCAGCTCCACCCTGGGGCTTACACTCTATGCGCCCGTGACGGCAGACGGCAGGAGCCAGAGCCCTGTAAAATGTGGTGGCTGACCAGCTGGTGCTTGGTGACAGGGGGCCCGGTCCACCGGTGAAGCTGAAGCGCGCAAGATGAACACACGCCAAGGCAACTCACTTTTTATTGGTGGCTGTGATGCGGCTCTGCGAGGACACTCAGCATAAAACACTGTGGACCATGAAAGCCTGAGGGTGGAGGTACACCATAGTACCGGAATTCGAGGGCAGTGCAACCCAATAGCAAACTACTCTGGTTTGCTGCCTGGGATCTCCACCACATTCCTGATACTTGCTCCGCCTCTTTTGGTTTTGATATCTTTTATCTGGCCCCCTTATATTCATTGGGGTTGACTTGCCATCAGAGAGAAAGTGATACCTTAAACTAGGGCATCTCTGGATACGGTTAGAGTAAGTAGCAATGTCGACCGATATTAGATATGTTTATGCTAACATTGTCACTCAGTCCAACTGTTTCAACCCTAAAATCGACTTTTGTCCCAATGTTCGCTATGGATACCCGTCAGTTTGTAGAGTTGTCGCAAATACAACCTATGGACGAGTCTCGCTCTTCTACCTGGAACACAAACCAAGACAACTACATGTACCCATACAAGCAGCATACAGTAAATTTTCCCTTAGAAAACAACTTCTGTTTCGATGAACTCGATGACGGTAGCATCAACGTTCCACCCATACAGCGCTTCATGGACGACCCGTACCCCTTCAGCAGCGGCATGTTGCAGGCAAATATGCCCCTATATAGCCAGTACGCAGCATATCTAGAACACCAATGGCACCCATCGGATAGTCTTCGACATCCCTCTCCTGACTGTACGTCCTCTGGCAACACTAGTCAGAATACCCAAGATGAATTGCGGTCTCCGTACATGTACCATGCTACTCCATACACCGGTCCGATGGAATACCCTCAGGCCTCGTTCCCCTGTTCATCGATTGAACAACTTCATAATGGCCCTTACCAGTTCGACGTTCCACTGTTTCCAAGTAACTGTACCCTTCGTCAACTAGAATATAGCCCCGTGACGGAGGCAGTTGCAGAGGAAGTTGAAGATGGTAATGCTAAACAAGAGGCCATCCCTAGCCACGAGCAAGGAACTGTCAAGACAGAAGAGACAACAGAGTACACAGCTTATGCAGACTCGGCAATTGGACTCTCCACACGAGACGCTCAATCAGTCGAACCAGTTGACCCAGTCGATTTCCCTGAAGAGTCCACTTCGGATTCCGAGTACAGTCCAACGTCCAGTCGGTCGAACAAGAGGAAAAGGTCTACAGTATCGAGCAACAACTCTATTCGTACATCAAAGCGCCGCGCACATGCTCGCAAAGACTCCCAAACAACAAGTCCCATGACATCGATCAAATCGGAGAAGAAACAACGCAGGACCTCGAAGGCCTCTCAGAGCCCTATCGATCTGAGCACTCACCCTGACTATCGCCGCCCCTTCCCTTGCCCCTTCGCTGTATACGGCTGCAAGTCCGACTTCGTTTCCAAGAACGAGTGGAAGAGGCACGTCAGCACTCAACACATTAAGCTCGGCTACTGGCGCTGCGATCTCTGCCCGTCATCGGTAGACCCAGATGATAACGCTCTATACCACAACGACTTCAACCGCAAAGACCTCTTCACACAGCATCTCCGCCGCATGCACGCCGCTCCCAAAGACAAGTCTCCCCGGTCCACCAAGGAGTACCCCGTCACCGAAACCAACCTCCCCGAGCACCAGAATCGCTGCAACCGCTGGCTGCGCGACCCGCCACAGCATTCCAGCTGCCTCTTTTGCAACTCCGAATTCAAAGGCCCAAACTCTTGGGATGAGCGAATCGAGCATATCGGACGCCATCTTGAGAAGGACCACGCGAGTCGGGCTGATATGCTTGACTGCGCTACATGGTACAAGGATACGAGGCTTGAGTGTTATCTGCTCGATGAGGGTCTTATCGTACGAAACGGTAGTGGTTGGAGGATTGGTGACGGTAATCCCTGTAGGGTTGCTCTTGTGGAAAGTGATGTAGAGTCTGAGGAGGAATGAAAGGGATCAAGCCCATGGCATTTTTTCGTTTTGTTTGTATTTTGCAGCTCATTGCGAGCGACCTTGGTTTTTTTTTCGGATTCTGTTTGGAAAGACATGATGCTGATGCACGGTCATTATAGCTGGATACCCCCCTTTTGTAGCTGTTATTAAGATATGATTCTTTTTTCTTTTCCAAATTTGATAGCATATCTTCATCATCACCTGAATATACAATTCTTCTACACAGACTCTTGGCTGTTTTGACGCCCGATTTAACCAGCAATATACCTTTCATCTAGATACTAGCTCCCAGCACACAACTCATCCTGAGAAGCCCACGCGTAAAATGCTTCCTCCCTACCAACGTGCCGTTGACCAAAAAAATCCGTAATCGCATACCCGCCACCTATCTCCCCTACCCACGCACACACCCCACATAACCCCCCCGCTATCCGCCCCCATCCATCTTTCTCCCTTCGTTCACCGAGCACACCCCTGTGGCTGAGCAAAATCCTAGACCCGCATATACGAGTCCTCTAGCCTGCGCAGTTATATATGGATCCCTATAGAGTTTAGCAGGTTTCTCCGGGCAAAGTACATATGTAGGCTTCCGTTGCTGCGCCTCTGTGTGCCCCGCTTTTTTGTCCTTTAGGTTTGGGAATTGTGTATGCCTGGGTGGAGGGGGAGGTGGGGTATGACTAAAGGGGGGAAAAGAGAATAGAAGGTAGAACTAAGTTAAGAAAGATGCTAGTAAGAGGTAAGTTTCGGGGGTGTTGAGCATGTTGATTTTTTCTTTGAAGCTGATTGTGTGGAGCGGGATTGGAGGTGATGTTTTGTGGAAATTTGCAGCTTTGGTAATTGCTGCAAAAGTATCCTACTAATCTACCAGGGGCGTCTGAGAATTTGCTGAATGAAATCCTGATTTCCGCCATGAGTGTCATCAAGAGTTATGAAAGTAAATGCAAAGTTAAGTTTCTAATCATTAATTCGTAAAAAAAAAGGTTACCGAATGGGTACAAGCAGTGAAGCAGAGTCTAGTATTTCACAACTCATCCTTGTATTCCTCCTCACTCCCCTCATGTACTTCTTCTTCTTCACCCTCCTGCTGAGCATCCTTCTTTCTTTGCTTCTCTCTTCCCATGCCCGCAATCTCCTCGTCTCCATCCTTGTCTGAGTCCTTCTTTTTCTTCTTCTTTTTCTCGCCCACATCGTCCTCAGTGTCAATAATGCCTCTCAATTCTCTGCCTTGGCGCGTAGTCGCAAGGACCAACTTCCATCCCTTCTTCCCCGCCTTCTTTTTCAAGGTGTTCTTGAAACTCTCCACGTCTTTGAGGTTGCCAATGTCATGTTTCTTCATCTCTTCTTTAGTCATTTGCTTTCCGTCGCTACTGGCCACAACAATGAAAGATTCCTTGCCACCACCCACGACTAGCGACCTCTCGATAACTTTGCCCTCGCTACCAACAAGCTTTTTTGCGCCAACTTCAATACCACCAATGATGGGTCCGCGCTTTGTCGAGCCTTCAAGGCCAGTTGTGATGTCACGGAGAGGGTTCGTATTGGCGTCGTCGGCAGCTTTTTGGGCGGCTATGAGCCGCTCAGCTGCAGCCAACTTGGTGGATTCTTGCACAGCGGTCCATGACTCCACTTCCGACTCTGCTATGACGGGCTCGCAGATTATGGGGTGAGCAAGTTTCTCTTGTGGTGGTGTAAATGCAACGTCGTGGCAAAGACGGGGTGTGTCGACGATCATCAGATACGAGCATGTGCTGGTTTCCTTAACCATGGAAATGCGGTCAGCGGACTGCGGATTACAATGGAACTAAATGTCGCATCAGTATGGCAAGGCACAAAGTAACCGATTCGCAGTACAAACCTGAACATCGATTTTGCGTGGTTTGCCTGTCAGATCGCACTCGGTGCCGTCAGATAACCGTTGAACCATGTACCTGCTTGAACCTTTGGTCTCCAGCCTGGGCAATTCTAAGCCTTTTGTTTCGGCGTCACCCTCGTCCTCATCATGTTCGTCGTCAAAACCCTCCTTGCTGCCCTGCTCGTTTCCGAGCGTCTTGCGTGTATTTGCTTTTTTGTTCTTCTCTTCTGTAGGAAATCTTCCAAGCACAAAGCTGTGTACGCTCTCGTCTTCTACTGGCGGGTATATGGGAACTCCTCGACCCGGTGGAAGTTGATGGAATTGCTTGACTTCGCCCTTGTAGCAAAATCTATAACTCCACCAACCGCTCAGATAGTATATGCAATTGTCTCGCATGCCCTCAAGCAGCTCCCATCCACGGTCCGTTGCGCGCACAAGTTCCTTCTCTTCCTCTGCTTTTGCATCCTCCGCAGAGGTTGTGTCGTTTTGGGCGACTTCTTCGGGTATTATAGGTATGCTGCACAGATATCGTTGCCCGTGTAATACGACGGCTTCGTAGGTATGTTCCAGAGCATCGTCTGTAGGCGTTGTGTCTGCAGCCGGCTTATCGCGCTTGGAGAGTTCTTGTGTTTCCTGTGATCCCGGTGTCGCCGAACTCGAGCTGGGTGATCCGCCTGCAAGGAGAGATGTCGCTTCATTCTCTGTAATAAAAGTGTCCGGCCATAGAACCTCATACTGGGGGCGTGTTAGTGTGTAGTTCTACGATGTCGGTCATAGTGCGTCATACCTGGGGAAAAGCGAGCAAGTCATCAAAGACACTGAACGCATGTTGACTTGCGAGCGCGATGCGCAACACGGCCGGAAGCGCCCATAGGCCTCTCATGTTTGTAGTTGCGGGAGCGCCGAGGGGCGTCAAGTCAATTGAGGGCACACTACGTGGAGCTGGTTGCGGACTTCTTGTAGTCTGGTTGGAGCCAGATGGCACTTCCGTCAGACTATGCCACATCGGGTAAGACCCATGAGAGAAGAGTAGTCTGCACATGTTTCGATCATACTTCCATCTTTCACATACACCCATGCATGGATTACGACGGTATCGCTCTCCCTTATAGAGGAAGAAATAGGGTAGATGTCTCCAGAGAATTGTCTTTGGCTTTTACTTGGGTGATTTGAATGGGTGAGGGTTCCCTATCGACATGTCCTACTAATGAGATAGTGTGTTTGGGCCACCGGATCGGTGATAGAATGCATTGATATTCGCGTTCGAAAGCACTGTATCTGCTTCTAATGGTGCACTTAGCAAGGCGAGGCTGGGTCTGTTGTCTATTGGTTCATGGTATGCCTGGTGTGACGCGGGGTAGTAGCAGTACATATACGCAGTGCCCACTATTCAGCTAGCCTCTCGAGCACCATCCCAAATTATGCACCCTGTCCCACAGCAGATCTTGTACCAACATAGTTCAATTTGGACAGACAATCATGTTCCTCTCACCTGCAACTGCATTAAGAGTGCCAACCAAACCGAAATATCCTGGTGATCCGCTTCGAGCAGGCGAGATCAGGGTCTTGCGGCTGCAGCCTGGCAAATGGACCGACGCCATCGTTTGCGAACTCTCCAACGCTAAGATCGGATCCGAGCAATACCGAACACTATCTTATGTATGGGGCTCGCAGTTTTACCAGCGCTTCGTCCGACTCAATGGTCGTAGCTATCCCATAACCTTGAATTTGGAAAGTGCGCTGAGAAATCTACGAGCAAAGTACGATACAGGGCTAATCCTTTGGGTTGATGCGTTGTGAGTATCGTTTATCCTCACATGTCTACAGTTCGTATCTAACCCTGTCGTACCGTTTCTCAAGATGCATTGACCAGGCGAATGGCGAAGAAAGGACACATCAGGTTCAGCTTATGGGGCGCATTTATGCGAATTGCCAGGAATGTCTCGTATACCTGGGGCAGAGCCTCGACAGCACTGTTGGAGCATTGATTGAGCCAACATCTGTTCTAGACTTTGGGAATTATCGCACGCATGTCCATGCTCAAACCACGTTGAAGCCAAGTCACAGGCCAGGACTATACGAAGTTTTTGAGTTCTTCTATAAGTTGAGCGAGTCCAATCACTTGCACGAAACCTTGCCCGCTCCTAGTGGGCAGGAAAAAGCAGACACGAATTCCAAGAATCACAAGAGTTACAGGAACAGTATGCACTTTTTTGAGACGCTGCGAATGTTCATGCATGCTCCATTTACGCCCTGGTGGACCAGAATATGGGTAATACAAGAAGTGGCACTTCCTCCCAAAGTCGTCATCTTCTATGGTACAATTTCCGCGCCATGGACCATGTTCGCTAAGGCCACGAAAAATTACCGACTTCACAGTAGTTCATGCTGCCGTAGGTTTATGCATAAACTGCCTCGGGACGAAGAAACTGTTGTGCACAACAGTTTCGAGATAATGTCAAAGGTAGAGGATCTCCGACAGCGTTACCATATGCGTCATTTAGGAATGGATTACTTGGGACTGTTGGAATTGCTAAGGCTGTTCCGAGACAAGAAGGCATCTGACCCCAAAGATAAGGTGTTCGCTCTCCTTAGCATGGTGGAAGTTGTGCCTGGTAGAGAACCACTGGTACCAGATTACTCGCTGAGCGAAAAAGAAGTCTATCTTCAAGCAACGCTGGAGTCAATATACTCGACCAAATCGCTTTCCGTGTTTAGTACGGAACTGGGAAGGAAGTTCAGAAGTGACCTGCCATCGTGGGTTCCGGATTGGGGTGCGCCGGGAAGCCATACATATGATTGGCGAGCAAAAACGATAAAATATTACAACGCATGCGAAAGAGAAGCCACGCCGGATTCAATAATTCCGATAGGAAGTTTCAAACATCACGAAAAATTAGAATGGTTAAAAGGCGACAGAGGAATGTACATGAAGGACAAACTTAGCTTACAAGGCCTGAGAATTATGCGAGTGGAGAAGGTGGGGGAGATCATGTGGGGGGACGACCCTCATAGCAGCCGGCACACACTCTTACAATGGTGTCGCATGACAGCGTTCCTGGAGAATACGCTGCCGGTGGATACTGAAAATATGCAGCCATCGCAGAGAGTTTCCCTGTTCAAGTTCTGGAGAACCATGTGCGCCGATGTAATCCACGAACACGTAACAACGGATAGTATTCGGAGAGTGCTCGCCGAAGACATGTCCACTTTTGAAAAATGGATGATATGCTCGAACATGTCACCTTTCAGCAATGCAGAAGACAGACGGCAAGCTAAGTTCCGGTCCATCAAAGCAGAGTTATGGAGTCTTTTCCTCTTTGTATGGCCGACAGTACCGGACAAAGGCAAGCCGCATGCACCAGAAAGCTCGTATGTTCCCACACACTTGAAGGACCGCCAAATCGTGTACAATGCGCTGCTTGATTTGATTCAAGCCGACCGACCGAGTTTCCAAGGTGGTTGGGGAACGGCTATGGAAAGTGGGTTGTGGGGAAGAGCCCACCGATGTGCGGCTGATATACTCACGAGCTATTACGGGCCTAATACCGATCTATACATGGATAGAGAATGGAGTCAGGTTCCAAGTATAGAGCGGTCGGTGAGCATAGCAACATTGTCGCGACGGCTGATCTGCGGTGATGGGCTAGTTGGGCTGGGCCCAGCGGACATGGCCGTTGGAGACGAAATATTTCTCCTGCCTGGAGGAAAGACACCATTCGTCTTACGTTTACTGAACCATGACTTGGTTGATGTGAATGGCGAGGAGACAGTGTATAGGCCTAATTACGAGATCATCGGCGACTGTTACTTGGATGGGTGGATGGATGGAGATGCGCAAGTCGGCTCACGAGCATGGACCGACATTGTGATTGTGTGAAGTGCTATCAAGTGGCTGAGCCGAGGAGATGTGTGGGTAGCACTAGGCCGTCGTGTTGAGTACACATATGGCCTGAAATGTCATTGAGTAGGGGATTGTTTCCGTAGTAAGCAGCCAGATGACGTCAATCGACGCGCCAGCTGCTCCTGACGCGGCGACGCGAAAACACGTGACTCGACTTATGAGGCGAAATCAGACGGCCGATTGCTGCCTTGCGCAGGGGGCGGCCCACTTTTCGCAGCAGCCAGCCAATGACGGGACGCGCGCGGGCCGCTCCCAAAGTCTCACAAGCCGCGCGACAGGTCCAAAGTTACCTTCATTCCCTTTTGACGTGTCGAGTCTTCGTCTGCTTTGGTTTTGTTGCTAGCAAGGTGTGTACCGGCCTCAATTGCAATCGCGCCAACGACTAGTCTGCGAGGCACTTTCACGCTGACCCTCTGTCATAGAGCCTGTTTCACAGGGCAACCCTCCGCCGCATTCCACCCCACCCCATTCCATTCCAATCTTTCCACTCCTTGCCTTGTCCCGGAAGGCAAACGTCCGCCTCGCCGTGTCGACGTATGCAAACTGTATCTGCCGTCCCTGCTTTTGCTGCTTGGCTGCTGCCTACCAAAACTCAGCCCGTCAGTACCTACTCCACTTCGCTCTTTGGCATCGCATCGATCCCAAGCACGCGAATGAGATATTCACGGCGACAGTACAAGGAGGCACACATTTGAATTCTACTTGAAAAAGTGCTGGCCTGAGCAAAGTCTCTGCCTGGTGCACTATAGAACGACTGGCTGTAGAAGAGCACGCAAAAGAAACGTCAAGGAACGGACTTGTCGCAGCTTGGTTCTCATGACTCACTGCTACGTCCCATTGACTTGGAGCACGTAAAGAAAATATCGCGCAATTTCGAGGGCTAGATCCACGCCGTCCTGCGTTGTGACCCAAGGTCGCTTTCCGTCTGCTTCATTCACCCTCCACGTGCACGGTCCCATATCGTGCCTACGTTGCCCAAGTGATCGCCTGCTTTGCTTTCAGCGCAAGCGACAGTCCCCGCTAGACCCCCATTGCGCGATACCCCGCAACGCGCTACATACCCTCCACAGATACATAAATTGCCCTCTTAACCCCTCCGTTTGCTCCACGGACATTACTCTGCGCCACAATGGAGAATGAACCTTCCCAACCCACTCAGCCTTCCACCCAGCAAGTGTTGGACCCTCGTCGCTTAGGTAGGAACAACTCGGGCTTGAACGACTGCGACATCTCGGATGTTCTCGTTATTCTTCATCCAGCTACACCAACTGCCATCAAGATTGTCGAGTATGCGGCACAGCATAGGCCCGAGCATGTACTGTTTCGGAATTCCGTCGACTCCATGGGCGAATCAATCAGTGATGCTGAGGAGCAAGAAACTTTCATAATAAACCCTCATCCAGATCAACATGAACGCAGTTCTCGTGCCGGGGCCGACCTTGCCCTTCGCCTCTCATCCGCAAACAAGTTGAAGTTCAAACAGCTTGGCTTCATTTTCGGGCGCAACCATCAGAGCGCCGACATCATCTTTGGCCAGGATTCTGGAAAGAGGATAAGCAACCAGCACTTCCGAATCTACATTAACATGGACGGTCTGCTCATGCTTGAAGACATGTCCACAAACGGCACTATTGTCGATGAAGCCCTTCTCAAATGCAAAGACACACGCTTTAGCAAGATCCGAATGCTCAGCTCCGGCTCCATCATCTGCATACAAAACTCCAATGATGCGGAGATGATCAAGTTCATTGTCCGCATTCCTTCACGAGTGTCCTATGGAGAGCGCTTCCGGGAAAACCTCCGCAACTTCATTACCGAGTGTACGCCCGACTTTGGTGAGGAAAAGAGTAAAGTTGTGCAGCGAGTGGCGAAACAGTATGGTGGGCCTTCCATGAAATGGGATGGCGGGAATTATTACAACATCATCGGTGTGTGCCATCGGCTTCTGAAGTCTGACCTATACTAACCCCTGGCAGGCCAAATTGGCAAAGGTGCTTTTGCTACCGTTTATCAGCTCGCGGTGAAGATGACTGGTAAATTGCTAGCCGCAAAAGAACTCGAGAAGCGGCGGTTCATGAAGAACGGCATGCTTGATAAGAAGATCGACAACGAAATGAAGATTATGCAACATCTTCGGCACCCTAATATTGTAGAGTTTGTCGAATACTATGACCAAGGCGACTATCTGTACATCATTATGGAGTATGTCCGACAAGGTGATCTACAAGGCTACCTCAACCAGCATGGCTCGATGAAGGAGGAGACTGCGAGGATCATGGCTCAACAGATCCTGAATGCCCTGAGCTATCTGCACCGAGCTAAGATTACTCACCGCGACATTAAGCCCGATAACATTCTCATCGCTGATCTTGATCCTTTCACCGTCAAGCTTTCGGACTTTGGCTTGTCAAAAGTCGTCAAGCATGAGGAAACATTTCTCAAGACCTTTTGCGGTACTTTGCTGTACTGCGCTCCCGAGGTTTTTCCTGATTTCAACGGCCAGTCAAAAGGCACCAAACGCCGGCGTGGAGCCAAGGTGTACCATTCCTACAGTTCCTCGGTCGACATATGGTCCTTTGGAGGTGTCCTCTGGTATGCACTCTGCGGCGAACCTCCATTTAGGGGCATTGCCGACGCCACCGGTGAGGCCATGTACAATAACATCATGGGCACGCCACTTGATCCAACGCCACTCCGCAAAGCAGGTGTTTCTGCAGCCTGCATCGACCTCTTAACGCAAATGCTTCGAACAGATCCTTCCGAACGGCCGACTGATCGTGACTGCCTGAACCACCCATGGCTCAAGGAGGGCGCGATAATCCCTGCTGATCCCGCCTTGCAGTCCATCATCGAAGAAGAGGAAGAGGAACAGGAAGAAGAAGCTGAGCAACAATTGTCGCAACTCCGTCTCCAAGAAGAAGAGATACCAGAGTCGGAAGACGAATCTGATGTTCTCTACGATGAACAACTCATGGGTTTTGTCACAGAGCGACGGCCAAAGCGAGTCCGTGCCGACCCTCTATACCCCCGCCATCAGATCAGGGATCGCGACGAATCCAGTGTGGAGCCTTCATTTACTTCGTCTCATTTAGTCCCTGAGGGTGAGAGCTTTCAGGTTATGCCGACACCCAGGCGGCCTCTCTTTGGTGAAATTAGACAGTCTGCTTTGGAAAGCTCGGGAGTGCTAGATGCGCATGTCAACGATGCCCTATCATGCGAGGAATCTATCCAGCTTGCGCAGAATGACGGCGCTGCAGAGTCAAGCCACACTGAAGATGGCTCAGACTATGAAGGACCTTTCACCGCACCCGCACGTCTAGATCGTGGCGTGTCGTCTAGTCTGCTGGGCACCGAATCTCTGGTGAGAGATCTTAACATGACATCGCCCCATTCTCCTGTCTCCCGAACGCAAAGTCCCGTCATGCCGGCAACACCTAAAACACCAGAAGTCGTTCAGCACAGCTCTCTGGACCAGTCGTCTAAAGAATTCAGCCAAGTGAGTGAGCCGACCCCAAGAGCACGGCCATCCGGGATGAACCGGCTGATTGAGCTACCGGTGACTGCATCCTACTACTACGACCCAAGGGACCCAAACACACACAATTTGGAATACGCGTCTAAGATAAGTGGGCATGACTTTTCATCCATCAACCAGGATGCCACGAGTGAGACGTCTGCATATCCAGATACAGTAGGGGTGTCACGGACAAGCGAAACATCAGCATCAAGTGCTGCTGCAGCTCCTTCTCCTGCTGCCGAGATACCGTCTGTCCCCGCTGAGCTAGATTTCCGCCCACCTCCAAGGCGACTAGGCAAGCTTGTTGCGACACCAGATTCGTTTGCTCCCAATCTTACTCTTAACATCACTCAAAGCAAGACTTCGTGGGGTCGTCTCGCAAACAATACTATTGTATACGAGCATAGCCGTGACACGCGCGTCCCAAAGACAGCATTCATCATCTTCTTCTATTCGCCCAGTGGTCAGTCTCAGGGGACTGTTGACGATCTCTCTCAGCAAGGAAAAGATTGGACTAGTTTGCAGGACCTACACGTTGGCATTTGGACATGCGCTACGCATGGCATCTCCATCAATGGCAAGCACCTCAAACAGCAAGATGAGAAGAAGCGTGCGTTGTTTGGTCATTTGCACACTGGCGACATTGTGCAGGTCTATCATGATTCGCGCGGAACTGAGTGCTTAAAGTTCCAATGCGAATTCTACCTTGGCTCTGGCAAGGATCCACGACCGCCAGGCAAGAGCTTCAGTACACTCATTGGGAACAGGCTTTCTCAATAGGCTGGTATTTTCTGTTATTTGATCTCCACTTCCACATCGGGGAACTCCACACTATTTGTTTGCTTTCTATTGGCTTCTACAAGATCACATTGCCTCAGGTGTTTGGCAATCTTTTGTACTACCATTTTTTTTCTCATCACCATTATCGTCACTTCCATATTTCTTTGCTCTTTTCTTATACATAATAGCAACATTGCTTTGGCTGGAGGGGGGAATGGCTCCCTAGACTGAAAATGCTATGGGGAGGGGGAAATTGTCGTTTCTTTTGGCATGTAGGAGAAGACTAGGGGATCTGATGGGTTATATCCTGGGAGGCAATTTACATGGTTTAGGTATGTTGGTTTCAGAGCGCGTTGAAGATTCAACCATTTGTTACCAACGTAGTTCAGTGTTGAAATGGCGCAAAATACATGAGTATATTTCAAATTTGAGAAATAGTGTAGATGCATGTTGGGACAGTATGCTGTGAGGGCCATTTCGCATGTTTGATGTCTTTTGGAGATTCTACCAGGCTCGATATATTCTTTGACTGGCACGCCAACTATGGTTGTGCTTAGTTTTTGACAAGAAAGCGCTGTTCACTGTATATGTGCTTCCTTTTGCCGTACGTTCAACCGATCTGGCATGCAGCCGTTCTGTCAGCCCTTATGGGTAGAAGAACATGAAAACTTTAGTCGGCCAGAAGCTAGATTAAGAGTTACAAAGGATATTTATTCATGCGATGGCTCAAAATTTCGGACTTGCGAAAGAATGAAATAACGTGATTTTGTTCACCAGAAGGAGCGAGAATCATATCGAGACTATGAATAC